GAGGAAGAAAGAGAGGCGGGTCACTTCTGAATGGTTAGCACTAAAAACCTGATAAACAGCAGCAGAGCATTGTCATACCTGTATCTAGATCATCTTCCCCTGAGCCAGTTGCAGACAAGTTTCATATGCCATGGCCTTTTATCCCTGAATTCTTCCATTTCAGTGGGTATTTTCTAAGTTGTTGTTGTTGTTAAGTGCCATCGAGTCAGTTCCAACCCATAGCGACCCTGTATAGGGCTTCCTAGAGCAACTGGTGAGCTTGAACCACCAGTCTTGCAGTTCAAACCAACTTTGCAGTCCAGCACATTGACCCACAACGCCACAGCAGGACTCCATTCCCTAAGTACAGGACAGTAAATGTTCATACACATCCATTAGTCCAATACTTTTATCTAATTTACTGTCCATATTCCATTTTTGTTTTTATTTGATACAATAGTAACTTTTTATTTGATCCAATAATATAGTTTAGATAATCTTTCTAGGGTCAGAAATTGAATATAGTTGACGTTTTCCTTTCTTTCCCTTTAGTTTGAATTGTTTTCACAGCATTTCTTTGTCTTTTTTTGATATTGACATTTTCAAAGAACACAATCCTCAACCATTTAAAAAAAGTAGGGTGTTCCTCATTCCAAATACTACGAAGGTGGTCTTTGTCCTTCTCTAGGTATAACCTCCAGAGGTACACAATGCCCCTCTTTTCTTACTGGTGATGTTAACTTTGATTATCTGGTGAGAGTGTTGCCCAATTTCCCTACTGAGTAAATTACTCTATCTCCTTCTCCCTTCAACTAATACGTAGCCTGGGGCAGGGGGTGGAGATTGGAGGGCACAGTTGTTAAAGCACTTGGTTGCTAACTAGAAGGTTGTCAGTTCAAACCCACCAGTCACTCTCAGAAAGATGTGGCAGTCTGCTTCCATGAAGATTTACAGTCTTGGGAATCCTATAGGGCAGTTCCACTCTGTCCTGTAGGGTCTCTGTGCATTGGAATCACCTTGATGGCAGTGGGTTTAGTTGATTTGAGGGTCTTCAAGACCATAAGAATATATTGTTCATTATCAAATTTCCCGCTAGGTTTTGCATCCATTCATGATTCTTGTCTGATCCCATGTTTACCATCATTGTTGCAGAATGATGTTATTTCGACTCCCTTGTAAACTCTTATAAGCAAGATCTCTCCTTTCACCCTCATTTATTTATCTCCTTATTAGTAGTATGAAGTCATGAGTTTTCATTTTTCAATGGTTTCTCTTCCATTTGTGGACTTAGGTTGTTGCTCACTACAGAGCATAGCTCTCCTTTGATATATATGGAGTCTCCATAAGCTGGAATCAACTTGCCAGCAATTTATTTAAAAAAAAAAAGATTTCAGGAGTTCTTAGAAGCTAGTGGCAGACAATCAGACAATAACACCAGGAAGGAACACCCTCCTTAAAACAATCAACCATGAGAGATCAAAAGGGCAGCATCTGCTCAGGGATAAAGCTCAGAAGGCAGAGATGATGGACAGGGAAAAGGACCGATATAAAAGGCAACCACAGGGAGGACGTGGAAGAGTGCTGTTGCATTGTGGGGATTGCAGTTAATGTCATGAAACAATAAATTGTTGGATTAAACAATCAATTTGCTCTATAAACTTTCACTAAAACCACAATAAAAAGATTTGTAAAAGAATAACAGGTAGTTCAATAAAAATGACATGCAATATACATTTCATACTGAAAATGAAGCTGTCATCATGGAATTTACATTTTCATTTTTGACTAATCCCCACCTAAAATCTGGCATTTCTTTCCATTATGAATGTAGGTAATACACCATAATTAGCAATGCTGTAACTGTCACCAACAGAAATCACATATATATTCATATGACACTGAACCTGATGTTTTTATTTTGATGTTATATTTTGAAATACTGTTTAAAAACTCATCGCTCTTTTGAAATGACAAATGATTAGACCTTCCACTAGATCTTCTATGTTACTGCTGCTGCAGGCTGTCATATCAGTTCCATTTCATAGAGATGCAGTACAGGGTTTTCCAAGGCTGTAAATCATCGCGGAAGTAGAAAGCCTTAGCTTTCTCCTGCAGAGAGACTGGTGGATCTACCTTCTGACCTTGAAGTTAGCAATAATCAGCAAGAAGTTAGCTTCTTGTTGTTGTTGTTGTTGTTATGTGCCGTGGAGTCAGTTCCAACTCACAGCGATCCTGTATAGGGTTTCCAAGGCTGTAAATCTTTATGGGAGCAGAAAGCCTCATCTTTCTCCCATGGAACAGCTGGTCGTTTCGAACTGCTGACCCTGAGGTTCGCAGCCCAATTCGTAACCACTACACTACCAGTTGCTAATCTAAAAATTGGCAGTTCTAACCCACTCAGAGGCTCCATGGAAGAAAGGCCTATGGAACTTTAGTGAAGGTTGTTGTTGTTGTTGTTGTATGAAAACCCAGTGGAACAGCTCTATTCTGTAACACATGGAGGCATCATGAGTCACAGTTGGCTCAGCAGCAACTAGTTTGTGGATTTGGGTTTATTTTGTTTTCTTCCAAACAAGACCTGATGGTAGCCTGGCCTTGGATTATGGCGGTGGATGTGGAGGGAATAAAATAAGATTGAATGATGATTGGTAACGGGAATACAGAAGGGGAAGATGTCTACAGTGTTTCTGATTATATGAATGGTGGCACCATTTAGTAAGCACTTAGATAGAAAAGTCTGGGATAGAGGACAAGTCTGGGCTGGAAACATAAAGTTGGAACTCACTGGCATTTATTAGTTGAAGATAAAGATACATGGATAAAATTGCCCGTGAAAAAAATACAGTACCTGAAGCAAGTCTACTATGAATCCTCAAGGAACTCTAACATTAAATGTCTGAGTAGAGAGACAGAGAAGAAAACAGAGACAGAATAGAAGGAAAGGAAGCCAAATGTGGTGCCCCAGAAGGCAGTAGAAGACGTTTCAAAGAGGATGGAGTGATCAGTAGAACCAAATGCTGCTGAGATGTATAGTAAGAGAACACATAGAAAATGCCCACTGGATGTAGCAACATGGTGGTCTTGGTGACATTAATGAGAACTGTTTCAGTGACATGATGGGGACAGGAGCCAGGTTGGAGATGGCTAAGGAATGAGTAGGAAGTAAGGAAAGGTAGACATTGTATGAGCATTTTCAAGAAGTGTGGTTTTTGAGAGAACAGCCAAGGTTTTAGGTGGTCATACATGTTCTTCCTGATCTCCGCCCTTGATCCTTTACCATTCAATGAGCTTAACTGATTTTATAACTCTGTATTCAGAGTTGCACAGCTGTGGCCTTCCAGTAGCCATGACAACCAGTCAGGCAGGCAGGACCATCTGCAGGAGGCGGCTGCCATGAGACTGGGAGCTCTTTCTCCCTTTCCTGCAGTTTTTGCCTCAACAGGCCCGGTCTCAAAATAGACCCATTGTAGAAACACTCCTGAAAGAAGATTTCAGGAACAAGGGGAAAGAGTTCTAGTATTTTAGCAACGCCTATTAAAAACTTTAAGGATGAATAGAATTTGGGATTTGAAAACTAACACAGAATAAACCATGAGTGGATCATTGTTGAAGCATATTCATGGAGGTTCATCATACTATTCTCATTACTTTTGTTGATGTATAAATTTCCATAGCGAATTATAAAATGATGAATTTTGGAATTCGATAAAGTGAAGGTCTAAACGCCTATGGTATCACAGGCTCTCTATGCTACATGGCACTGTTAGCAGGCTGTCTTCTGAACAGATCAGCCATGGGCTTGTGGGTTTCAAGGAGCCAGTGTTTAATGGCCAAATGTCTACTGTGATACTTCCTTTTCTTCTCCTGTTAATCCTTCCACCTTTTCTTCTCTTACCATCTTCCTGAACTTGTTCCCTCATGCCACTGAGCCACCCCTGAAAAATGGGGATTATCACATTTGCTTGGCAAAGTTGTTGTGAGAATTAATTTTCATGATGTATGTTGAACCAAATGCCCACAGGAGTCAGGAAGGTGATATAAACGAAGTTGTCCAGATCAAAGAAAATCATATGGCCCTCTTAGCTTATCTCTTGCTTTCCCACTTCTCATGGAGATACAACTAAAGGAAATTATGAGAAAAATTCTATCCTATTAAAAAAAAAGTAGGGAGCACAGTAGCTCTGTACAACAAGTACTGAACTGCAAACCACAAGGTTGGTGGTTCAAACCCATCAGCTGCTCCTCAGGAGAAAAATAAGCCTTTTTGCCCCCCGCAAAGATGTTCAAGGTCGCTATGAGTTGGAGCCAACTCAACGGTACTTAACAACAGCCTAAGAAAATTAGTAATGCAAGGATGATACTTAATGGTAACAGAGACGTAGCCTCACAGTTGGAGAGAAATAGGGAGTGGTAGGGATTGGAGCAAACTGGAGCATTCAGGACCCATCTAAAGGGCCAATGCTTCTCAGGTCCTGCTGATTGCTGCTATGAGGAAATTTGGAGGCAATGTTAACATGTCTTCCTGTTACAAGAGGAGCTAGAACTCTAAAATTATATGAGAAATCTCTCAATTCTTAAATTTGGACTCAATTACTTAAAAAAAAAAAAAAAAAAAAACACCACAGACCAAACTAAGCTCTTCTTTGGGCCAAAATCAGCTCATGGGTTGCCAATATGCCACCTCTCACCTAGATAATGGTACGTAATAAGAGTTACCTTTCGCCACTCCTCACACTGCCCACCTCATTCTCCCCTCCTTTCCTGTTTTCTGCATCTTTCTCTCCTAGCCATGCCCACCTTTCAGTTCTTGCCGAATCTACGTAGTGGAAAAGCTCGAAGTGGGTTGAAGATGTGATTACACACGAGGGAATGTAATGCAGCTGCCTAACCCCCAGTGCCCGGAGCAGAGTGGGCAGCAAAGAAAAACTGATGAATGACTAAGCCAGCATCTGGGGGAGTCCGTTCAGATTCTCATACATGTTTTAGACTTACCCAAGGCACTGTCTCATTTTTCTCAACAGCCTTACGAAGTCGTTCTGGTCGCTCCATCATCAACGGGAACTGGGCAATTGACCGACCCGGAAAATACGAGGGCGGAGGAACCATGTTCACCTACAAACGTCCAAATGAGATCTCTAGCACTGCAGGGGAGTCGTTTTTGGCAGAAGGTCCCACTAATGAGATCTTGGATGTCTATGTGAGTTGGAATCCTTCTGGACTGTTGTCTGGATTTTGTATCTTATTTTTAAAGACCATTCTTAGAACAAATAAGCCACAAACCAATGCCTGTGCTCAGAAAATCATATGAGAGGTGCCTGCTTATGGAGCCCCTGAAATGCTTGGCATTGTTCTTTGCCATTTACCTCTGAAAATACCTAGCTCACAAACCTTAAACTCTACCAGATGCTTATTACCGTTGTTTATTGACCCAGTAAAACCAATTTTATTTGTTGAGCCAAATCAGAGGCAAAACATATCCTTTATTTCATAGGGATTGGATCTCCTCCAGGTACTTTCCTCCTAATGCTAATTTGGCATATTTTCTTTTTATGGCAAAAGAAGGCAAACGCCTAAAGCAAGACAAGACCGCTCACAGTCCCCAGTCCTCTTCAAACTCTATTAAAGCCAGTAAAGAAACTGAGTACTCCAAAGGACTCCAGATGACTCAACAAAGCTGGGAGTAACAATACAGAGGTTTACTGGAAGCTCCCGGCTCCTCAGAAAATACAACTTTGATTTATTTTACAAGAAGCTCAAATATTAAGTTACCCGAGAGCTTTAAATGCTCCTTCTTTTTAAAATAAACCACTAGCATCCAATCTTCTTAAAGAATCAGGAAATAAAAGGTGACGAGAAATAAAAAGTTCAAAATAACTTTTTGATGAAAAGAAGGAGCTTGCCTATAAATATACATACAGTTGCTGTCCCCAAAGCCATGCTAATCCACGATATTTGCTGTGTCAGACTTTTATAAATATTATTAATTACACTGTCGTTACTTTTCCAACTATACAGTTACTTGCTCATTCCTCTTGGGCTTAGCGGCTCGTGGACTAGAAATTATAAAGGAAGCCTTGTTATAGTTCATTTTCAGATATTTTTTTAAGACGGTCCATTGGTTATTTGACTCTGGGTAAATTCCTAATGGCATCAGGTAAAAACTCGGGTTGTTAAAGGTACACTGTGGGTGGTCTAGGAAATGGTGGCCAACAATAATTTCATAAATATGAGAAGGTTTGCATTGCCAAGTGCTCACGCAGAAGAGGCAAGGGGAAGGGAGGAAGGGTTTCTAGCCTTGGACACACAGAGTGGCAGATTGTGTGGAAAGAGAATGAGGGAATGAGGGGGAGGCAGTGGGAACCTGAGATCACGCCACTGTGTATCCCTGGGATGCTTTGCTAACCACCAACTGTCCTCCACACCAACAGTTTGGTATTGACTCCCGAGATGTAAGCTGCCTAGCGGGTCTCGTGTCAGCCTGCCTTTGGGTAATTTGTAGGATGCTGACCCCACTTCACAAGTCCAAGACTATGGCATGAATGGGAAGAATAGACCCCACCCATGCAACAGTGACTCAAAGACTCTTGTAGCTGGAGAGAACCTAAGAGATGAGCTGTTATTCTAACTTGCTCCAGTCAAGAGTGGTGGAGTTTAGAGACTTGGTCCGTAGAGTTTTCAATGGCTACCAGGAGGGAGAAAAAGCATCAGAGCCACGATAGCATCTCCTGGCCTGGTTCACAATTACACTCCAGATTCCCATTCTACTGCTCCACCTTACTTCCCACCAAAAAGTCATGGCTTCAAAGATGTTTGGGCTGCAAGCCACTAGACCAGCTGCTGTTAAGTCAACCCTGACTCATAACAACCCCACATGTGTGAGAGTAGAACTTTGCTCCATAGGGTTTTGAATGGATGATTTCTTTGAAGTAGATTTTGAGGTCTTTATTCTATGGCACCTAAGAGGACTTGAACCTCCGACCAAGCTCATTAACTGTTAGCAACCATCTGCACCACCCATATCACAGACAATGTTGTTGTTGTTATTGAGTGCTCTCGAGACAGTTACAACTTACAGCAACCCTGTATAGGATTTCCAAAGACTGTAAATCTTTGTGGGAACAGAAAGCCTCATATTTTCCCTGAGGAGTGGCTAGTGGGCTCAAACCACCAACTTTGTGATTTACAGTCCAGTGTTTTTCCTACAGCGCCACATGTTGTTATTATGGTTGCGTGCCGTTCATTGAGTAGGTTCCGACTCATAGCGATCCTGTATAGGGTTTCCGAGGAGCAGCTGTTGAGCTTGAACTGCCAACCTCAAAGTTCAAACCAACCTTGCAGTCCAGTGTATTGTTGTTACGTACCATGGAGTCCGTTCCAACTCATAGTGACCCAGCACAGGGTTTCCGAGGCTCTAAATCTTTACGGGAGCAGAAAGCCTCATATTTCTTCCGCGGAACTGCCGACCTTGAGGTTAGCAGCCCAATTCATAACCACTGCGTTACCAGAGCAACGCCATATAGGAAGGAGTTATTCTGCTGGACCAAGCTGATGTTGCTTTTTTTTGCTTTGGTTTTGGTCTCAGATAGTATTCAGCAACTTTCACAGTCCTAAGCAACTTCTTAAGGAGCTCTGGTAGCGTAGTGGTTACGAATCGGGCTGCTAATCTCAAGGTCAGCAGTTCGAAACTGCCAGCTGTTCCACGGGAGAAAGATGAGGCTTTCTGCTCCCGTAAAGATTTACAGCCTCGGAAACCCTGTACAGGGTCGCTATGAGTCAGAACTGACTCCACGGCACATCACAACAACAAACAACTTCTTGCCTACTGTCTGCTTTCATCGTTGATTCCTGAGAGGATCTGGTCCAGGGGCGTTTCCTCCCCTTACATCTGTTTCCCTGGCTTCACCTCTGGGGGTCTGAGAGTTTCCATGGATGAGAACAAAGGAGGATCCCAGAGGGCTGACCAGGGAAAGAGCTGAGGGAAGATCTTCCTGAACCAGTATCACAATCAAATGGAGGACTTTGAAGGAACTGAAAGGAGTCCGGGCGTAGTGCTGTAGGATAAGCACTGGACTACAAGGTTGGTTTGAATCGCAAGGTCAGCAGTTCATCTGCGGCGGGTGGACGCTCCGGCGTTCCAGTCGTTGGCACCCGAGCTGCCAGCCCAGCTGCCAGACCCCCCGCGAATCAACACGTCACCACGTCACCCTGCTGCAACACTGTGGAGCTGCCCCAGTGGCATGCCATTTCCAGGACCAACGACGTCTGTGAGCTGTGTATCAACCAGACCACGGGGGGGGGGGGGGGGGATCACACCCAGCTCGGTGGGCCGGCCGCCCTGCAGCTTTTTTGAGATGGCGGCAGCTCTGGATTCCTTCTACCTCAAGGAGCAGACCTTCTATCATGTGGCATCAGACAGCATCGAGTGCAGCAATTTTTTAAGTGCCTACAACCCCTTCAGCTACTACTCTGCATGTTGCAGGACCATCAGCAGGGGCGTGACGGGCTTCATTGATTCTGCACAAGAGGTCTTTGAAAGGCCAGCCATCGCATTCTCCTCCCTCGAGAAGAAATGAGAGGCTGACTCCCGGAGCTCCGTTCCTCACATTGAGGAGACCCGGTTCCTCTTCCCCGAAGTGGTGGACGTGGGTAGCACACTCTTCACGGGTCTAAGCTGCAGAACCTACAAGACCCTAAATATCTACCTTCTGGATTCCAATTTATTTTGGTAATATGCAGAGCGGCTGGGGGCGCCAAGCGTCACTCGCGCCAAAGAATTTGCTGCCATTGTGGACGTGAAATAAGAGGCTCACTATATCTTGGACCCAAACAAGCTCTTATGAAGTGCACCCTAGAGTCTTTTATTCAGAACTTCAGCATTCTCTACAGTCCCTTGACAAGGCATCTGATTGGCAGTGACTTGGCCCAGTTCCCTTCTCAGCATTTAATCACTGAAGTGACAACCGATACCTTTTGGGAAGTAGTCCTCCAAAAACAGGCCGTGTTGCTGCTTTACTATGCACAGTGGTGTGGCTTCTGTCCGTCCCTCAAGTCACATCTTTATCCAGCTAGCTCGTCTCCTGCCAGCAGACACCTTCACAGTGGCAAGGATCAACGTAGCTCAGAACAATCTCCCTTGGGAATTTATGGTTGACCGTCTTCCTACTGTCTTATTTGTGGCCACCAGCCACTCCTCGGGAACCCTATAAAGGGTCACTATGAGTCAGAACAGTTTCGATGGCACTTAAGAACAACAAAGGATGCCTGGTTGGTTCTGCCAAGTGGGACTGTTCCTTTGCATGAATACATCGTACCACCTTGTGTTCAAATAGCTTCTTCGGTGGCATAGACATGTTTATGTTGTCTGTTTTGAGAGCCCTGCGCACAATCTGAGCACTAAACCTCACCTAGAATGGTTGGGAACCAACAGAAAGGTTTTGCTTCCATTGCTCCCGTCTCCCTATTTTGAATTTACAAAATCTTGACTTTAAGTTTCATCTTCTTCTAATTCTCTCAAAGGTTGAGTACTTGATTTTTCAAAAGCAAATCATGCTTTTGTTCAATTTGATACAGGTTCGCTACTCTTACTATATGTGAATCAACTCACTCATTTACATATATATATTTGAAAACAGGTGACTATTGAGTCAGTGTCTACTCATGGCATCGCTAGGAGCATCAGAGTAGAACTATGCTCCGTAGGGTTTTTAGTGACGGATTTTTGGGAAATAAATCACCTCCACATGCACCTCTGTGTGGACCCAAGTTACCAGCCTTTCCATGAGCAGCCAAGTGTATTAACTGTTCACACCACCCAGGGACCACTCATGGACAGTGCTGTTCAGACCATGAAGCTAAGACAGCAGGAAAAAGGATCGTGGTGAGCTTCGTGCCCTGACGTTGACCCTTGTCTCCACAGATGATACACCAGCAGCCTAACCCCGGAGTTCACTACGAGTATGTCGTCATGAGGACCAATGCCATCAGCCCCCAGGTGCCACCTCACACAAGACCAGGTAAGAGCCCTTGTCTAACTCCCAAACATTCTATGCCATTTCCTTTTCTCTGTGTGTATCTACCCCCTGTCTCTCAGTCAAAAGAAAACCCAGAGGCACACATTTCACAGCTGTGGATCTGAGCCTTCTCTGATGACAATGTTTCATTCTCCTGATTTGAACATGAAGTAAACAGCCTGGGTCTGTCTTTACGGTTCAACATTTTGAAATCATCTTGTACTAGTCTTCTATTAAGGACTCTTGATGTGGTGCTGTAGGATCAGTGCACGTTGACAGTTCAAACCCACTAGCTGCACCTTGGCAATTCTTTACTGGGTAGCTATGAGTCAGAATCAACTCGACGACACTTAACAACAACAAGTCTCCTATTAAGAGTCCTGGTGGTGCAATGGTTAAGTGCTTGGCTATGAACTGAAAGGTTGGAGGTTGGAACCCACCCAGCTTTGAGGGACAAAGATCTGACCATCTGTTCTTGGAAAGATCACAGCTTAGAGAACCCTACAGAGCAGGTCAACTCAGTCACATGGTTTGAGTAAGGATCAACTTAACAGCACCCAACAACAACAACAATCAGTGCCTCTCGCTGCTGTAACAAACTGCCTCAGCTTAGTGACCAACACCCATTTATTCTAATTCCAGAGGTCAGAGTGCAATGGGTTTCACTAGACTAACATTAAGGTGTTGGCAGGACTGCACTTCCTCTGAAGCTCTTAAGGCGAATCCAGTCTTGTCTTTTCCAGCTTCTAGATGCTAGCATAGTGGTTATGAGCTGGGCTGCTAACCTCAAGGTCAGCAGTTCGAAACCACCAGCCATTCTGCAGGAGAAAGATAAGGCTTTCCACTCTTGTAAAGACTTACAGATATAATAGCGAATAATTGTTATCAGGACTAGTTGTAAGGGCTGGAAATGTAAAGGTTGACCTTTTGGAGCAAAGGAAGGGGAGTGATTGACCCTGTAGTCTAGGAG